GCCTTAGGTGGCATTCTTTGGGCATGGAGCAGGGCTCCGCGGCCGAGGCGCGCCCCGCCTAGCTCTCTCTCTCTCTCTCTCTCTCTCTCTCTCTCTCTCTCTCTCTCTCTCTCTGCACGCTTAGCCCCCCCCAAAGGGAGAGCTGCCCCTAGGGGCGCGCAAGTCCCAAGAGTCAGTCGGTAACACCCCGAGCTCTCTCTCTCTCTCTCTCTCTCTCTCTCTCTCTCTCTCTCTCCACACGCTTGGACCCCCCCTCTCGGGGAAGGCCATCCCAGAGGGCGCGCGAAGGTCCGGAGGTCGGTGTGTTGCCCTTCGCTTGTTGTGTTGGCCCGAGTGCCACTTACAGGGCCGAAAATGTTTGCCCCTTTGGGGTGTGGGTGGGAAGCAAGAAACATGCACTGCGGTGGTGAGTCGGATGACCGCCCTGAATTGATGCCTCCCCCACTCTGGTTTGCTGATGGTGAGAAAGCCCCCTTTCCCCAACAAACAGCCACCCCCAAGTCCACGAACAACGCCCAGGACCCGCGAGGGGAAAGGGGGAGAGGATTGAACTTTACCACGAGAGCCCATCAGATCTCTCTCTCTCTCTCTCTTCCTTTCCCTCCCTCGCTCCCTCTCTCTCCCCCTCGAGGACCGCCTGCATCCTGAGCTGGTGTTGCTCGATGGTGTTCTGCAACGAGCACAGAAGTGGCAAGACGTGGCACTCAAAGTACTCCGAGCACAGTCCTGCAACGACAACATCAACACATGTACAAGATATCCCAGGCCCATGAATGCGGGCTGGAAATGGTCTTCAGTGGGGGAATCTGTTGCACTTGCAATCAGAAAAGGCGACGTCATATGCGCATTCGTCTGGAACCTGACCTAGCGCTCATACTTGTATCCAGTGTTTGCCATTTCTGCTCGTACAAGTGCTACATTAGCGCTGCAAGAAAACCACGTTCATGCTGAACCCTGAGTGAGCAGCTGGTCGAATGTCACGTGTCATCCTCTTCATCCTCCTCGTTGCCATCCGCGTCATCCTCAGCAGTCTTGACTTGTGCACGTACAAAGCCATGCCATCAACTCGTCCCACCGCGGCCAGGTTTCCAACAGCACTCTGAACTTGTTCTTGCGAAGCACCTGGCACTTGAGTATGGTGACCAGTGGCTCGAATTATGCAAAATGGCAACAGCAATCTATCCATGCCAAGGCTAACTACAATGGCGACAACACGTTTGTGACATTGGAGAAAAAATCGATGATAGCGATGATCGTAATATGCACAATCGTACGCAATAACAAGCAAGGCAACCATAAGAGCTATCTCGGCCCCGGCAGTGGTCGTCAGAAGTTCCAATAAGGACCTCCTGTTTCCTGACCGAATCCAACGCCCAATCCACTGTTGTCCTTCATTAGGTAGTCGGGAACCCTGGTTCAGCTCAACCACCAATCCAAACCAATACGGAATTCAGACCCAAAGAAAACTAATTCGAACTTTTCGCAGTGCTTTTCTTGCTTCTGCTGGCTGAATGTAGGGTCAAAAATACCCACACCCGCTATCGACGACCTGGATTATGCACCTAAGCTACTACTAAACCACACCCGTAGAACCCTAACTAGCTAACCAGCCCTCAGTCCTGAAGCCCTTAAATTGGGGGTTTAGGAATTGCGGCGCACAAACTTAGATGCCACACCCTAACACCCCCAAACATCAAACCCCCCTAAAGCCCTAGGTTACCAGCTCACTCGTCACCTCGCCCACGCAAAGGCGAAGGCTTCCCTCGAGGCCTTACCAGAGCACCCTTCGGGTTAAGGGGTTTATTCGGGTTGGGGGTTTTAGGCTCCCAGGGTTTTGGGGCATTCGGGCTTAAATGGGTTGCCCCCATCTGCCTTGAGCTAAACAATCTGTTGCAAGCCCGAACCTTTCGTCTGACCCTCTAAACCCAAGCCCTGAAGACATGACAATGGGATGTGTACTCACTCTTGTTTTTCTTTGACCTCGCTTGTGTTTCTTCTGTCTTTCAACAACACACACGTCACAAACGAAACGTGCACCCTGAAACCTCCTGAAACCTCACATTCGCAACCTGCTAGACGCTCCACTGAGTCTGACACCAGGCCAAGCACCAACAATGGGAGCTGTCCGGAGAACCGGCAGCCGATCGAGCCCTCAAAGCCCTAAGCCCTAAGAACTGCAAACCCTGCAGCCCTAAAAGAATCCTAAATGCCACTAAGCAGCCGAAACCCCAAGCAGCGACAGTAAACCCCAAACCCTGAACCCGTTTGAGGAATCAAGGAGTCAGGGATTGTTCAGGATGGTCGGCTCTGAGGAGTCATTTTTGTGCCTGAAGGGTTTCGGTGATGTCGTGCCAAGGTCGAGGATTGAAAGCGAGAATGTTAGACACAACATCGAGAGCAACAAAATCAAAGCGGCAGGGGATTAATCTTAAACCCTGCGCCTTGGACTCCACCTAGCCAACCCCTTCAACCCTCCTCAAACCCTAGACGCTCAACCTGCCTTATCCCCGATGTAGCAATACTCGATTGGAAGAGTCTCCTGGCGGGTAGCGAGGTGTTCGGCTCGCTCGGTCTTGAGGAGCCAAACCCTAAATCTTCAGAAGTGTTGCTTCTGGCTGCCTCAGGTGGTTTTGCTAGCGAATTTGGCTCCCACGTCAACCACGAGCATAGAAAGAGAAAGAAAAGGAGGATTGAGCAGCTGCGAGTGAATGCAAGACGAGGTGAGGATCTGGGAAGTTAGGGGAAGGGAGGCGAAGAAAACCTCATAGATTCCTGCCTGATCTTGTGAACGAACATCTACACCAAAAATCAATATCTCTCGTCCGCGCATGGAAGGGCCAGAACGCTCGCCTTGTTGTTGAAACAGGTACGAGTAACAGTGCCCTTGAAAGTCACGAGCTTGCGCAAGGTATCTCCGCGCTTGACCACCCATGATTCAGCGTGGCGAAGCTTTTCGCCGAACGTGCTCTCCCCAGTTGGGGCCCTCCTTCTTGTGACATCAGTTCCCCTTCCCGTAACTCCCCCCCCCCGATCTGTCGCACATGCAGAGTTTCGTTGACGGGCTCCATGGCTGAAGCAGCCGTCAGAAACTTGTAATAGACCGGTAAGATCTCAGAATCTCAGGTACCTGAAGCCTGAGCCCTTCAAGCCCTCTACTTTGAACCTAAAGCCTCCTCGCCATCCTGACCCGCAACTCCCAGAGCCTAAAACCGGAAAGGGGACAATGATTTAGAGGACTGGCCAGATGCACGTACACACTGCCAGTTGTGGGTGGGGGTTGGATTGTACCGTTTAGGGCTGAGGGCCCCCTGTAGTGCCTGGATCTTGACTGCGCCTGCCTCTTGCTGCCGGCCCCGTTCCACCTGAGGGAGGAGGTAGCAATTCGATGAACGTGAACAGCTACCTTGCACAATAGCCGGCCATTCAAACAACATGCGGTCTTGATAATAAATATTGTGATGATCAGCTATCTGCGATACTACTCAGAGGATGTCCGTTTATTAGCACACCAATTGTGTATGAACACCCTGTGTGTTTACAAATGCGGACACGCATTGTGTACTTACATACACATATTCACATACTCTGCATGGTTTTGTGGCGCCAAGAACATCTCAATCAAGACTCCTGAGCGCGTGAGGCTTTAGGTTGAGGATTCAAGGCACCCATGTAAATTAGACCCCTGAGTCTTCAGGCACCCGTTGTTGTGCCGTCTTGGCAACCAACGTGTGTACGTACGCGGCGAAAAAGGGCCCCGAAAGCCCCCCCCACAGCCCCCCCCCCACCGTCCTGCCCCAAACCGTGAATCCTGAAGCCCTAAGCCCTCATAAACCATAAACCCGGAACCCTCAACCCTAAACCCAGCCCTTATTGCTTGGGGTCCAGCGACTTGGGCGCTGCGGACATGCTCACGCGGATGCGCTGGGCCGGGCCGAGGCGGGTCGCGTAGCGTTAAAATTATTAATGGTGTGTTCACGCGAATAGAATGAATGCTGTGCGAAAGAAAAGAGCACACAGTGAATGAACGAAATAAGAGAACTAATGAACGAATAAAAGACAAGTTCACGCGTGCTGATATTTCGTTCATTCGTGCTTCTTCTTTCGCTTCGTCTTTTAGGTCTGTTTACATCATCGTTAAATCGCATTGGGCCCCTATCAAATTTGTAGGCGCTGATGGGCTTTCCAGCTTCTGCTCTTCGGCCTTTTGGGGGTTCCCGTGCCCGTGCTCCCAATGTTTTGTTGGGTTTTTTTACCTGCGTGGCGCGTCTTCGTGTTCGCTGCCTCTGCTTCTGCTTTTCTTGCCTCAATCACTCAATCCGGCGAGCTTCAGAGCTTGAGCCTTGCATCCACCCATACGGCCCCCCACTTGAAACCCTTCCAAACTAGATCTTGAACTCCTTCTACTCCCTGCCGACATGGCCAAAACCACACTCTTTCGGCTTCACACTGCGACGTTCGCCCCAAAAAATCGTGGAAACTTGCGCTGATGCTGAGTTCACCGCTTGCAGCCATCACGGCTGGTGCGCGCAGCAGCTGATTCTACGTGATATCCAAACTCATTAAAGAAGAGGACCTGAAAAATTGGACTGTCCAAGATAAGGAGGTGCCCAAGCTTGTGCGCGTCACCAGATCAACACAAGCCCCTAAGAAATACTGACATAGGGACCTACAACCCCGGCTGCCTTGCTCAAAAGAGAGGATGGGCCCATCTACAAGCCTACGGCCGGACATGTCTGCGAGCCGAGTCGGCCGTGTTGCAGCGACGTGCTGCAGCTGTCAGCTGGTCTATGTCGCTGCTTCGAACGCTTTATTTACATAGTAAGCAGCGAGACCCGATGTGCCAGAAGGAGGCACAAACATCACCGCTCCAGCAAGTCGATGCCGCTGCTGCCAAGAGGCACTTACTCAGAACGTTAACATTGCAGCCACCTCGCTTCCTCGACGACCTCCATAAGTTGGCTCTGAAGTCCCTCGCTGATCTTGTTTCAGCTTTTCGCCCATCACCGATCTTTCTTGCCTATGGACTCTCGACGAGCTGACACATCTCTGGCGCACAGCCGGAGATCGCAATCAGTGATGTTGTGCGTGACAAACCCAGCATCTCTCAACTCAAGCATGCGCGTTGCCAAGACTTGGACATCTGCATCACTGAGGCCGCGTTCCCTCAAACGCAGGTTGTGGGGAGTCTTCGACCTCCCGCTTGGCCACTCAAGCACATCTCCTGGGCATGCCAAGTCCGGCAGGGCCAGGCAAGATCCCTTGCCAGGATGGTAAAGGTCGGCTTCGCCTGCTCTCTGCAGGAACAATGTCGACTTCCGCATGCACCTTACAGCTCCTTTGTAAGCTCGACATCTCCCTCGCGAGTTCCACATCGATGCAGGTAGGACGCCCTTCCATTTCCTGAGCTGGTTTGCCAAAGACCAGCAGCTTTCGGAGATGCTGTCTTCGGAAATGCTGTCCGGCGAGCAGTAGATCGGGCCAGTGGTAATCCCCACGTTTCTTGACATAGAGCTGACATTAATATTCCTGGGTAAGAGTTTGACGCCGCCGGTGCAAGAAATCGCGTCGAACTCCTTATGCTCCAAATAACTGGGACGTAGCGCATCTGTGAGATTGAGTGGGCATGCCTTTGGAACTGAAAATACAGGCACCAACCACTTGATTTCCAGGAGCGAATCACCTTGGTCTGAAAGCAGATGGCACTGAAGCGTGAACGACCTGCGGAAGTCAAAGTCGTCTTGAGGAGAAGAAGCTGAAGCTAAGTCTTCTCCCTGAGAGCTCCACCAGCTTTGTCGCCATTTGAGGCTGCAGCCTAGCCATCCCCTGCGCCTAAGAAAAGTAGTTAATCTCACACAGAGCTCCAGGAAAGCCCTTGCAGAGGGCAGCACGAGGTACAAGTCCAGGTCTCTATCCACCACATCCGTGTTGTCTTTCAACTCACCAACCATTCTTCCATACCTCATGAAACCAATCAAAGTACCAGCGACTGGGAAATAAACAGCTCCAGGTCCAAGAATCTGTCCGACTCCTCGCCTTAGATCTTGAATGTTGATACTCTGGGTGCACAAAACTTGATGACGGGTATTGTCAACAGCCCTTCCGTAAAGCAAGCGCTCCAGCGTATTGATTGAAAACTTTTCATGTGAAAAGTAAGCCAGTGTACTTGCTGCACGACCCAAAATGCGAACGCTTGACCCCAAGCGCTCTAAGCACTCTAAGCACTCGAAGCACTCTAAGCACTCTAAGCAGTCTAAGCGCTCTAAGCGCTCGAAGCGGATGGGGGAGAGCTGGGTCAAGGGCCAAGCTGCCTCGTGTCTCGCCAGGCCCTCTCAACCACCTGGGGAGTCAGTTTCTTTGTAAGGACCCGAGAAGCGGCCATAACTTAGAACAACCCCACCTGATCCGACTTCCCACGCATGTCTCGCCTTGCAGGCCAAAGATGCGCGTCGTAAGAGAAGCCCTGGGGGTTTTCCAAGTCTGTGCTTGGGATAGCAAGATACAGATACTGCCTCGGATTGAAACCATGAAAATATCTAAGCAAGCCTGGGCTACGCGCCCAGGCTCGTGCGCCGCTCCCATTTCGAAGAAACCATGGCTCAAGGCCGGCATCGCGCAGCTGCTTCACAACTTCATCAAACCTTGAGCGCGCAGTCTGCATCAAATTCCATACAGTTGCAGAGGAGCCGGGAACATCACCGGCATGATCATTGACGACATCCAAGGCCATGTTTATCGATGAGCTTGCCTCCTGGATCCATGGTTGTACAAGCTGGTGTGGTGTTTCGGCTGACGCCACGGGAAACATCCTCAGAATCATCGAAAAGGCCGCAGCAATCAGCGCCACAGGCAAAGCTGCACGGCACCAGGCTGTCACCTTGTCATAATCGGCGTGTACTGCATAGCTCAAGCGATCAAATCTCTTTATCTCGCTCCAGCTGGCATTTGCGCTCAGAAAGTCCGAAGTAGTATTGTACATGCCTTCAAACGTTGTGACTCCATAGCCCGCGAGTCCGATCTCACCAGAGCAAGGAAGCATTTTGTGGATCGGTTTCGGTTGGGTCTGTCCTTCCTGGTAAAGCACTGGCCTAACAAAGCCACAAAGGTAACCGAAGTAACATCTTACGTCTACGGCATTAGCTACCAGTAGCTGTTTAAATCTTGTACCACCCTCGCTGCAGTCGTGCGCTAATCTGGTAAGCCGTCACTGTAACTTGCCTCGATGTTATCAGGGGTAATGTAAGCTGCAGGAGAAGACCTTTTCGTCTGAGCCAGAGCGCCTCAACTTGGCGTATGCCCTTATACCTTCAATCCTCTCTTCAGCTCAGTCCATATGGAGACCCAGACTCAGGCCAAACCGTTGTAGCGAATACAGAAGGAAAACAAAAACCATAACCTAAGTACTAAGTAAGCAGGTTCCTAGCCAATTCACTGTAGAAAGTTTACACCTGCTACGTCGTGTCTTCTCGCGTGTAGCACCTGAAATGAGGATCCCCTGAGGTACCCTTCAAGTTAAGGTCTCCAAAACAGGGACCCCAGAAAAAGAAGCCCTCAATTTTAGGAACGCCGACATGGCTTGCGACAACAATTGCGAATCTCGCCTGGAAAGTGGAGGCCTTCCATCTGCGGGTCTTTGACACGCCGGCTGAGATCACAATGTTGCACACATCATCCTGTCCAAGCAAATTGGCAAGGGCATGTTACGACGTGCTAAGGAAACTAGACGACAGCATGTAAACAAACTCAACAATGCTGGCTCTCTGAGACAGGAATTACAGTAGCCAAGCGGCGCAAGCGCCCATGATTCAAGCCAGGCACCGGAGGATGCAAAGCAATGCGCATCACGGCGATCATTGTCAGTTTGGCCCAAAGAGCGAAGGTTCATCGCAGCTTAAGGGGGCGAGACTAGTGACTCGAATCTGGCCACACGTGTCCCGTGTCGGGCGTCTTCGTGCAGTGCAGGATGGACAAATTCCTTCAGAGACGGAACACACGGAACCTCTGCCGGAAGGTCAGCAACCAGTTTGAAGTTCAAGCGTAGCATCGGTGAGAACCACAGACCGGAGAGCCCTGTTCCTCAGAGCCCACCCGGTGGGCACGAAGTGTGCTCAGTGTACTCCGCCGCATCCACGACTCGCCTCGGTCACAGATGGAATCTTGGGACTCGCGAGGGGCCAGCAGGGAATATGTGTGATGGTGCACATATTCGTACCAGATGGACATCGGGCCACGCGCTTATGCTCAGAACAAACCATGCCCAAATCGATCCAAGTCGGGACTCCTGGATCCACTGCATCCTTTAGGCAGTGCTGCGCAAATTGTGGACATGTAACACGCCATGCACAAAATAGTCCACTGCATCAGGCATGCTCTCTGCTTGATGTCGGCACCAGGGCGTCCGCTGTCTTGAAGGCAGCCGAGACTTCCATAGTGGCGAACAGCCATGGGAGAAAATCAACGCCGATTGAACTTCAACCAGACGCACCTGCATCTTATTAACTTTTCTCAAGCTCATCGAGCGAACAAACTCTGGAAGTGAAAAAGCTGGCCTTGTAAAGTCGGCTTCAGAGATGGAGATGTGACTTCCCTCCCAGTACAAGATGAACTCGAAGGGTAAAGGCAGGTCTGAAACGATGACGGGAATGCATCCGGCCAGGACTGCCAAGAAGAACAACTTGGAGCTTGTGACAGGACAGAAGATGGAGTGCTTCAGGATCTTGTAATCCCTGCGTGTCGCCCGCTCCGTCCATCGTACCAAGCACTCACCTGGCAGGCAGTTTTCAGACAAGTCCTTCGCCAGATTCAAGGAGCGCGCCGTCGCATTTAGTGCTCGGTGAGGCACGTGGTTCTTGCTCCCCACAAAACCTATCAGTGCCTTCCGTGCCCGGTTTGGAGGTCCTGCATGATACTTCCAAAAATGCACATAGTAGGGAAGCACTAAAGCAACAGATTGGTCTCGCAAAATGGGATGACTGCCGCCCGCGCCATCCCCCGTAGTGGCCACAATCGAACGACGCGTTACTCCCGCTCTGGCGCGTATGACACTGGGTAGGTGGTCCAGCAAGATCACATGGTTACGGCCTTGATGAAGCTGCCACCCTGATGTCGTTTCCAGCCAGTCCAGAAGCTTCAGGTAGCTTGGACAGGGGAACACTTCACCAATATCACCAGCAGCGCGACAGAAGGCCTCTTGCCAGACCACGAAGAGCAGCAGCTCCGCCTCCTTCGGCTCCTGCACCACCCTCACCTTCCCAAACTCTTCCCAATGCAATCTTTAGAGAGAGAGAGAGAAAGAGAGAGAGAGAGAGAGAGACAGATCGTTGAAATGACCTAAGAAGTGTTTTGCAAACGAGGAAACAGGATCCCAATCCGGCCAGTCACTTGCCGCCAGCGGCTTCCCACCACACCTCGCAGCTCTTTTTGCAAAATGGCATCTGGAAAGGATACCTCCAATTCCTGAACATCCGCCTGTTGTGGCGTGAAGCAGGCTAAGCCGAAACGGAGCGGCATCTAATCATTGACGAGACTGATGCGCAAGGACAGTTTGAAACTGAAGCCACGTATGAGGATGGGCTATACGGACTCTGCTTAAAGTGGGGCAGCAATGTGTTCGCCGCATAAAGGTTGTCAAAACATAAAGGCAGACAAAAGTGAGGAACTAAAAGGATATTTGCTAGACTGCCAAGCCTCGCTCCGGTTCAACACGTCCCAGGGACTGTTGGAGAGCTCGTAGTAGTCGTTCCACAGCTGAGGGCTGACTCCGCTCAGCCTGGGCCGGAGAAACCGCAGCACGTGGTGATCGTAGATGTAAACATTGGTGGTTTTTTGCGACTCTTGGCAATGCCCTGGCGAATCTGGGCGGCGAAAAAGCATCAACGTTCTCCTGACTGCTGGTTCTCGGGTATGTACAACGATTACTTTGACCAAAACTGGAAAACAATGAAAACAATGGCAACATTAACTAACAACGGCAACAAGCACAACAAGACGGTCTTCGCTCCCTAACCAGCGGCAAGGCTCTTGAACCAGTGACAGGTATCAGAGGCAGAACGGAGATCCAGGCTGCTCTGAAGATCGAAGTGGAGGCCCAAGCTTTGCATTCGGTACACCACATACTCATTCCACTTTTCGTTCACGTGTCCCGCGCCTCCTTGACCCGGGACGGCCCAACTCCTGAGTGGCCCCGGTGCTTGCACGTTTTCACCATTGTCTTACTCTGTCATACCCATGCTGTGTTACGCAATCAATGGTGCACCATACTGTACCCCACAGTGCTACACTGTACTATAAAGGATTGTACTATAATGATCACACCAAGCAAAACAAACAACAACGGCGAACAACAAACCACAACAAATCCACGACGAAACCACAACAACATTACAACCTCCACGACAGCAACACGTTGAAATCCAAATCCAGACTCAACAATACACCACAGCGAGCGCGCAACGCGATGTTTGCTAGCACCATGTCTTCAAACTCGCCAGGTATATGCTCTGTAACTTCGGTACACAAAGTCCAGTCATGGCCCTGGATCAGAGAGCTCAAATCCTTAGTCAAGTCTGCCTCGTAAACAAGGTCACGTGTAAGATTTCTGATGTTCGGGATGCCGTCGTATGCAGTGACGGACTGAGTATGGGCGACGTCTCGCAAATAAGCAGTATAGCAGCCACAGCCAGCTCCTGACATTGAATCACACCAATTGAGACTTGGAACAACATGAGCAAACACGGCATCAGAAAAACCTAAGTTGACAATACAAGCGCTTCACGCCTAAAATGAGAAGCGTTGGCCTCAAGATTGAATTCTACCCTGAGCCTGAAAAAAGAAGCTATTCACATCAATAGGATGAGCAGCAGGATACAGGCCAGAGTTCAAGATTTACGGTTTCGGGGAGGAGAAGCAGTCACAGGCCAAGGGGCTAGCAAAAGAACAGAAACTAGCACATCCCCCCTTCTTTGAAAAGGATTTCACCCAGCTGAGGTTCCAAACTCCAGAACGCTGGACTTGGCAAAAAGGACGCCCATGTACTGGGCCAAACCCATGTCCAGGTAATACCTCCTGGCTGCTCGCAGAAATCAAGAGGTTTAGCATCCCATGCATCCCATATCAATCGGGTCAATTCACAACAAAAGCCAAATCGTCCTGTGACAAGAGGTAAAGCCCCAAACTCCAGACTTTTCGTCAATGCTGACCTCTCCCTTGGATTTCTCACCTTGCATCGATACAAGCGAACAAGAGAACGTGCGGACATGCCCTGGGCCCTAAACCATGCCCTCGGTCCTAACCCTGAACTCTCTAACCCTGAAGCCACAAAAAACCATATGCCCAAGAATGCTGCAGTCACCCACTTTCGTTGCACACTTTGGCCGCCAATTGGAACCATGCCTGGGACGCGCTGTCCTCCCCGCACGGATTCTTGACGTGAAGCGGTTGTGAGTAGCACATAGGAGGAGCAGTAATACGAATAAATGCTGACAATAATGATGGGAGCTGGAGTAGTAATTCGTCGTCGTAGAAGATGTCGCCCGAAAGTTTCTGCGAACCTTCCATCTTGCATCTTTGGCTGAGTATCGTAATTGTCAAGACGATAAGACATTGTATCTTCTTGTGATGTTCCACACTCGCTGAATGCGCTGCTATCATACTCCGATGAATAGCTCCATTTTCCTTGCCATACTTAGGATAAGCTCGAAAAAGCCCTTCTTCGTGCTGTATCATTTGCCTTACCGTACCTGTGCTGTTGTAAGTGTTCGGTCTTCTCGTTGTGATTGTTGAACGAACAATATCTAATTCAATATTTCGTGCCTCTTAATATGCTCAAAGGACGGCTACTTGGACACGTGCCGCGCGAGCTGCATCAGATGCAGAGCACGCACTGCAGCATCCAGATTGCAGATCCCCTCACCATATACAAATCTTATTGTCATAATGTCTCGTCTTCTTTAAGGACATTACCAGATCGAAGTCTTACAAATGTAGGTTCCTTTTCGAATGCAGATCTCCCTCCAAACTTATCGTGTATGCCTTTATGGTTTCTTAACATTTTTGGATGTGCAAAAGCTATCAGTCCTCGCGCAACGCCGATCGCTTAGGATGCCTTCTCCAAACGCGTGACCATCTTCAAACACATACTGATATTGCCAAATCAGTCATGTCCATTGTTCTACGTTCGAGCCCCGCTGCCTGTCCCGAAATTCTTCCGTGCATCGCCCTTGCGCACAATTGCGCGGCCCTGATATTGACCACATTTTCACCAACTGTAGAAAGCCAAACAGAGCTTGTGGGAGATAGTTGGTCCTTCCGGTTTGCTCTAGGTGTTGGCGTGATCTCGTGTCAATCTCCTCAACCTACACCCTCTCTTCTGTCACGCTGCAGTAGTTTAGGACAACCCTCATCTGGTGTTTAGAACATAAACTTGTGAATCCAAAGTCGGTTTGCTAGCCAATCTGTTGAGACGATGATCCCTTACTAGTGTCGCAATTCATGTAACAGCTCCCACAAGCCTATCAATCGGGTCTGGCGTCCTGTGTGGACTCTGCCACACAGCAGACGCCACACATGCGCTCAGCAAAACGAAGCTGCGCATGAATGCTGCTACAGTTCTACACCATACTAAGGTCTGCTTTAGAGCCTTGCAGCGCAACGAGTAGGTTTGCCATGCACAATCATGCACAGGCAGACGAAAACTGAACATGCATGGCCCGGCGACTGTTTCAATTTTCATGTTCATCAATGTCGCCCGCAATGGCTCGCACATCAGACCTGAACGAAGAACCGCGGTACCAAACCAACATTGCTGGATGTGTATGTTTCTGCTGAGCCCCAACCATTCAGACCAAAGCCCTTGAATGGTTCAGGGTCTTGAGGGCACTTATGGTTAAGGGATCAAGATCATGCCCGGGCGCTTTTCACGCTGCTAAAAGCCATGGAACGCGCGTTGAGGCTCAGGTTTCAGGGCTTGAAGGGCCCAATGAATCACACTGCCCGCCCAAACATTCCAACCTGCGCCCCGAAGTTGCCACATCAACTACTTTAAAGTTGCCAGGTCGTGCTAAATAGCAGCGTTGGCAGTCTCCCAAAGTGCCAGGTACCGAAAGGTACTGTGATTACAAGCGCAGGAACTCCACTTTTCTGGAAGCAACAAAACAGCAGGGACAAGCTCCCAGATGGGTGAGGGAACCACGCTGCAGTGCGTGCTCCGCGTGCACAAGATGCTCTTCTCTTCAACGCTTTCTTGTTGATCCTGACCTCCCCATGTGGACATCACCATCTCTTGCCTCTGTGCAGAATTTCGTACAGATCTTCCAAGTAATCGGCCATGATGCATCCTCTTGTGGCGACGCCAGCGGTTTCCAGAGCGGAGGATCATTTTGGACATTTGTGCAACTCTTCGAGTCCGCTGACGTTGAATGGTATTTCGACAGTGTCCGGGATTTGTATTTCCAAGTACCCTGGCGGGAGTCCCAGAACGTGCTTCAGGAGCTGGTGCCAACCGACCTCCATGAGCTCCTGAAGTGTTGGAGGCCTGTCTGACAACGGCATGCAGCCCCCGACAATGGCGATAGTCTTGGCACTCAGCCCCAAGCTGTTGAAGATCAGCCCAAGAATGCCGCGACGCCTCAGGACCAGGACATAGAGGATACAAAGAGGCTCCTCCTTGAAACTACTTCGAATTAGCTCAGTCAAGCCACAGGGTCATCTCCGGCTGCCAATCGAATAAGAAGAACATGCCCCGGTTCTGCAGGCAAACGGCACATCCGAGATGGAGGTACGAACTGCCATTGAAGGCCTGGATGCACAGGACCATAGTAGGCTGCTGGCAGCTTGAACGACCATTCGGCCAAAATGCAAACTTCTGCCATGATCACTTCGTGCGCCCCTAAGCCATCATCAAGCTCCCCAACCTACCACCCCACTCTTCAAGGAGTTCCCTCATACAATACCTAAATTAAGGTTTGGGCGGGGGGGAGGGGGGGGGTGGGCACCAAATCTTGAGACTTGCCAAAAGCCATGTGCCTCATAGGCTCGGACAGCATCAGGGACCCGCGGGTCATCCTTGGAGCCAAGTTCGTACGGGAGCGGCTCGTGCAGGATCTCCACTTGGCCAGCGCCATACTAGCACAAATTGCGTTGACAGCAGACACCCCGGGACCCCACATGTACTTACAAAGCCCCGAAAATTTTATCCAACCCTCACGCATGCAGAAGACATTTCGTCAAGTGGCATGAAGCCCTTTGCGCAAAACGCAAAACTCTCAAAAAGCTCTCAAAAAAAAACCCTCTGTGTCCTGGAACATTGCCTTGAGGATCAAGAGATCATCCCTGGGATCCTGTTGTTGTAAGGCGTCCGGCTAGGCTCGAATCACTTTGAGACCTATCTTCTACGAAACTCTACGACTCCTTGGCATGTGTTGGTGCATTGTCAGGCATGTGTTGTCGCAGATTCTTCTCAACATTTCTCAAACACAGCTTGGCCTCGGCCTTTGAGGCATTCTCACAAGACCCCTGCTTGCCTTCCCTCGTCCCATTCCTTGATGCGCCCCCTTGGGTTCGGTCTGTCGCACTTTTGGAATTTCTTCGTGGTGTGTGGTATTGTGTGGTCTACCATGGAAACTGGATATGTGAGACTTGAAAGCTCAACGGATGCATCACCTGCTCGTCTTGGTTCTTGTGGAGGCCAGAGTCTGAGCGAAAGCTCTAGAATCACTCAATACAATGCGATGTGATGGTACGAGATGTTGTGGCTTTAGTGCTTGAGGCTCTCAGGGATTTTTCAGTGCACCTGGTGCAGGCGAAAATTCGCCTCGGCTTCCTGCCGAGAAGCGTCTGGAACAAGCAGACCCGGATCGGGCCTCCGTCCCCCTAACATGCAAAATTTCCTGACGCTCCCCCCCCCCCCGCCCTGTGGGACACCCCCGGATGGCTTGGGGCAGCTGCAAGCCGATGCCGTGGGGGGTCCTGCCTGTCGGCGGCAAGCACGAATTTGGCCTTTTTTGGAACTTTTTGGAACTTTTTTTTGGAAGTTTTTGGACTCCTGCAAGTTGCTGGGACCTTCTGGGACCCCTGGGACCCCCTTGGGACCCTCCTGGGACGCCCTGGAACCCTCCTGGGACCCCCCTCAAACCTTTCTGAGCCTGTTTGAGACCCCTCTAACTGCTGCTCCGTGGGCCGGCCCGGCTGCCGAGGCGGCGCGCGCAAGCGTTTACAATTACCTCAGAATTTGGGGTTCAAGTTTCAGGCTCCCTCAGGCTCCTCGGAACTTAGCCCGGAAGCTGCTTCCAGACTCTGCAGCAAGCCCCGCCTGCAACTGTTTGAAAACAGTTTAGGTTGTTTTCTGAGTTGGGATATGAGAGCGTGTTAGGATGTGTTAGGCACATCCTACGGCTTGCCTAGGTTTCTTGTGGGGGCTAAAGTGGGCACATGCATTCCCTAGAAAGGCTTGTGTGCAACTCGTTTAGGGAAGACAGCCCCGCTGAAATCACCGCATCATGAACAAATATATAGGTGCAATATGGTGCAATGCAACAACAGCCGTGCTTCATGTATTCCCATGCATAATCACCGAAGGGAAGGACAAAAAAAAGTTGACCTTGCGAAGCGCTACAATATCTCACTACCCGACAGAAGAAGCAGTAAGCATGTGATGCCTGCAACCGTGCTATTTTCATGCAATATGGTGAATGGCCCTGTAACTGTTCAGGACCTGCGTGGTTGTCGTGATGGAAGCACGTTCCGTTGGCCAAAGGCAGTCAATGGGGTTTCGGCCTCCCATGATTCCCTTGCTTGGGTTCTCAATTTTGCTCGATGCAAGGATACCTTTCAAATTTATGGATGGTTTAGAGTTTAGGGCTTACTTACATATGGGGCTTACATAGATTTACGGCTTGGCTCCCCACTTGCCTGAAAAGCTTGGTGGGGAAGATCAGCGCTCGCGGAACTGAATCAGTTTGGCAGCTGACGGACATGAAGTTGTCACCCTGGCACGGGTCAGACTGTCCTCGGGAATGGTCAGAGCAGTCTTGTCGTGGTAGTAGTCATTGTCGGGTCTCCCCATCCCCTTGCCCCCCGCCCCCTCGGTGCGAGCTGCCTTTTGTAACACATTACGCGGTTTTTTCCAAGCATTTTTGGAGTCAGTCTTGAAACAGTATTGACAATGTGCTGAAACCACCAGTGAAGACGCTGCTTTAGACTAATGTGTGTTTTTCAGCTCTGCTTTTTCAAAGCCCAAAGTGCTGTAAATACCAGAATGCGCATTCCGTATTTTCATGATTTTACGCCTTGTTTCGGCAACGTGCAACCAAATTTGACGGTTATTTCTCGTCGTTCTGAATCCCTGTGTTTGGACACGTTTAGGTCGGCCAAAGACAACCTTTACCGTGTTCGAAATATGCAGTCTAGCAACCAGCGACGTCCGTGCTGGCAGTGTTACCAGCGTGTGCGAATGGCCGAGCATCCATGCCCGTTACCATGCGAGAGGCCAGAGCATTCATTCTCGCATGATGACAAATGTCCCAGAGCACCCGGAGCACCCTGTCCATGCCCACGACTTGCCCACGATGATAACGGACGTGTTATGAGGCGCGGTCATGCCCGGGCACGGTTTATCGCACTTTGAAGGTGGTTAGCGGCATCGCACTGGGGGGAAAGGGTGGTAGTAGTGATGACAATCAAACTGATAATAAACGCAATCAGAGTAGCAGAACCAGAACATGTTCGGTTTGCTCGTTTTTGAAGCAGCTTCTTAGGGGCGTGATTTCAGGACATCTAGGACAATGCTTTGGCTCGAACTTCCTCCTCAGGATCCAGTCAACTTACGGACGGCCACGGCTTTTGGTGTCCCCAAAACTCGGGGAATGGGGCCTAGGACCGATTGGGGCTTGGGCACCTTCTCAACCCAAAGCTAAGACTGAAATCAATCTGGTTTCCTGGAGGGCCTTCCACAACATAGATCCAATTCCAGACGCCTCTCTTGAGCCTCGACGACAAGCGTGCTGTAAACTTCTCCCTGATTGCTTCCACACTTAGCACTCCCGCAGTCTCAGCAAGCCCAACAAGCATCAGGAGTTCTGGGATTCTCTCGCCGCGGAGAGAATGGTACAAGCGTGCCATCGTATGTTGAAGCAGCAGTCGCCCACCGCGTTCCTTGCCAGCCAACTCACAGGAGTTGTAGATTGCTGTGTGGATGACAAGCTCCGTGTCGGCTCCGATGACCCATGTCAAGTTGCTGGCAGAAGCCCCGTTCTCGTGAAGTGGGTTGCAAACAGCCTTCACCAGCTCCATTTGAAGCAAGGGCCTGGGCGTCAAGAGAGGTGGAATCTGCGCGACCTCGGGCAGCAACCTGGAGGAGTGTTGAAATTGGGGTGCCTTCTGTCATAGGAGTTCTTTTTAGACTTCTAGTGGCTAAATCGAAAGCGCACATACACACACCTGCAGCTGGTTCCAGGTTGAGTCAAGGGTTCCTCCATGCACCTTTCCACAGCCACCTGGCCCTCCACTTGCACCAGGTTTTCGTGGCAGGCCACGGGGACATCTGGAAAGCACGAGGCGAACCACGATGCAGACAGTAAACGCCTCTCAAGGAAGCACCAGGCATGGTCGGTCGCTACTCAAAATGGCTTGCGAACTGCTCTGCAAAGAATTGGGCATCTTGAGATGTGCCCCAGTGGGGGATCCCTAGCTCGACAAGTCAAGGTGAAAGTCTCCTAAACTCTTGGATATAACAGAAAATCTCAGTTTCAAGCAGCTGTGCTATAGGCTCGAAACCTAACACCCTGAAACCTAGACCCTAATCTCCTGAACCCCAAGCCCCAACTCCTGAATCCCACAAACCTTGAACCCCAAACCTCTGCTCCCTCAGATCATCAACGTCCCTCTTCAGACGGTCGTAGACATGGACGTAGTGCTGATTCCCAAGCAACCACGTAGCTGCCAGAGAATACTGTTCCAGGGAGACTGCTGAACGCATGCTGACCTCAGTTGAGAACAGCAAAACAGCAAAACACACCAACATGTCACATTCGCTGTCGGGTGTCCTGTACCACAACCACTGCTGCTTCCGTGTCAGTGCTCAGCCAATATGGGCTGGGCAACATTCCAAAGAGCACTCGCGGGTCTCCACCAACCCGGATCCTTCGTTTCTTTCAAAGACTAGATCGAGTAGGCTTCCAGCGAGCAAAACCCAGAGACTTAAGGCTTGACTATCGCAAATCACGACTATCGTCTACAGAGTCTACAAGGCAAAACTGGAAGTGGGAGGGGTTTGCTCTAAGCCTACGTCTTGAACTTGAACCCCAAAAAGAACCTAAAAGCCTCAGCCCAAAGCCCAAGCCAGGATCATGGCAGGTGATCTCAGAGAAAGCGTTGGACCATCGCTTCTCGACGGAACTTGCCTGATAGGAGGTCATTCATGGGATTTAGCGCAAGATTGCAACTTTAAGCCATAAATCGCCCAAACCCCCCAAACGTTAACATCCTGGACCTCGTTCATGTACATCTTCACTCGCTCCATTTGCCGAGGAATGGCGGTGCAGACATGGGGAACCAAAACAGACCAAGCAGAGTTCTGCGCAGCGCCCGAGACCTCCTCAAACGCAATCCGTTGACTCAGGTGACCAAGCTTTAGGGGCGAAGGGTCTTCGATGGGTCTTCGGGTGTCTGGCGATTGTTTCAGAATGCCGGAGCTTGTTCAAGGGATAATCGTCCACATCATTCCGCATGTCTGGCAGTACCGGGTTCTGCAGGTGATGTCTTCCTGTGCTTTCTACGAGCTACTTTGTGTGAGGCTCACTGGGCGCAGCGCTTTTGAACGCCCAGGCTAGATGTCCGGAGTTCAGGGATTGGGTTTCAATGGGCTATGCTTCCAAATGCTTCCAAAAAGACTTGTTTCACTATTGAGCTCCTACTTAACAACAAAGGGTGTTTTCATATGACATGTCTCTCCTGTTGGCGTAGTGACCTGCGCACGCCGTCCATCAGCAGGCTGAAAGCATCCCGGCTGCCCCCTGCGAGGTCATAGCGGAGGAGGCCTCGCACTTTCGCCAGGTAGCTGCGCTTGTCTGACTCCTCTGCAGGCGTGGTACAGGGGTCGAGCCCGCAAAAAGTGCAAACCGATGCCCTAGACCCTTGGTACCCCTAAAGCTAGTCCTCCTCTGCCGAGAGGCCCACGCACGTCTGGGCAAGCTTGCCTTCCCAGAAGTCCGCCTCACTCACCTCTCCGATGGCTGCGGGATGCTGCGGGGTTCAAGGAGCCTGAAGTGCTTCAGAAATCGACAAGGGCCACGCCATGCCATGCCATGTGCCCGCTTTTTGTCCAATGCTTTGGGTTGTCGAATAAGTTTCGGGCTGATGTGTCTTGAGGGCTCGTGTAGGGTCTTTTTCTTTGGCTTGCAGAAAGTTTGAAATTTTAGGTGGTGTAAAGTGGCCTCCACCACCAACCGGCGCCAGTCAATCTCCCACGGGAAGGGAAGGCTCCACCTCACGTTGCAAGCCGTAGCTTCTATGAAAGTGGGAGCTATTTACTTAGCCCAGATTACGTACTGTATCTGCAGGGCTTGCTGCCAAGATTTGTCTTGATGACTTGATGACTCTTGTCTTCTGGTCCGGAGGGTCTTCGCCTTTGAAGGCGCCGCAACACCTACACAAAGCTCTTGCCTTTATGTAGGACCTCTATGTGGCCATTCTCAAGAATGGGTCTGTTGTAGAGGTGAAGTGGAAAACCTAACTGTAATGCCAAGAATAACAATTGATCAAAAACAATGCTAAGGCCCCAAAGACATGGAATGCATAATTTTGGCAAACTCCCATGAAACATCACTATTAATACTGAAATACTTATTGTATGTCAGCGTGAGTGAAGGAATGTCCAACGTCCGTGGTGCTGTGCAAGTTGAGGCTACTACATCTCCCCAAACCAGCTACATCTCTGTGTGAGGATCGGAACAGAGGCCAACGGGAGCTGCAATTTCGAAGACAAGGCTCGGTCAACCATAATGATCTGCTACTGCAAGCAATTGAGCACACAAGGATGATGGCAAAGTACCTCCTGCTTTCACTATGGACAGCACTTCATGTTGCAACAAGTTGACGACAGGCGCTCCATCTGAAACAACGCAGGCATAACCTGGAACAACCAGGGTTGGCAAGGGACGGGGCCCTGCCCATAGAAGCTGCAAAGGCAATTTGGGAACGGCGGAAGACTCAGCCGTTGGCTTCTTTCCTTGAAAGAATTTTTGTTGGTCTCCTGTCTCACACCTTCCTTTCCTCACACGGCATTCATGCTTTAAGGTTTATGGCTGAGGTTTCAACTTCAGGCTTTGGGGTGTAAAGGGTTCTACAGGGCTCAACAGGTGTAAGTCCTTAAGCACAGGCCACTCCAATGGGGGACCGTTGTGGCGCCACCAGCTCGTTCCGCTGCCCATGTTCGTCTGGAAAGCCACCACCACCTGAGCGGTCAGGGGATGATTGTGCATTGGGTTAAACCGCAAAACAAAGAGATCTTCAAGAAACCGAAGAAACCGGAATGCCTGACTCAGACTTTCTGTGATGAATAACTGTACTACACAGCATACTGCAACAGTTTACTCAACGAGCATGTCACATGTCTGCACACCACAAGCGTGTTTGCACTAAGAAGAAGCTCGCAGGCTTGTCCCAAAGCTAAGGTAATGACGAAGAACGTGAGTTATCGGTTAGTGCAAGCGTAAAGGAAACTGCATAGGCAAATCCACCCCTGTAGCATGGACCCTAAAAATGGACCCTATTCTGAAAACAAAAGGTACAAGCCACGGGCAGGCAGCCAGCAAGCAGCGCATCCATGACACGCTTCAAACCTCGCAGGCTCGTAGCCCTGAAACAGATGATCCATAGTCAACAGGTCAGTTCAGTCAGTTCTTCTAAAACCTCCCCGAACTGCTCCACGCCTCCAGACGTCTCACCAGGTGGAGCTGGGCAGAAAAGTGCCCGTTGCCGCTCGTCCGCAAACTGCTTGGGCGGAGGCTGCTGCGTCATGCGCTCCTGAGGTTTGTCAGATGCGAGCAGTTGGGATCAAACCTTATCCGCCGAGGCCTCGGGCCGAAGGCCAAATCCTCCCCCGAAGCCGACACACGTCGGCCCCCTTTTTTTTGCCTGAAATGGGTACCCCCCGTAGGCGACCACGATACGATCTGAAAGCGGATGGTTCGCCAGGACCAGGGGCAGTCGAAGCCCCGCCCAGAACCCCCCCCTGCCCCCCCCCTTTTGCTTTTCGCCAAACCGTGAAGCGAGAGCCCCCAAAGCCCGCAACCCTAAACTAATGGCAGGAAGAAGAAGACCACCCGGTGGACGGGGGCGGTCGGCGGTGCAAACTGCGGGCCAGATCCGGTTCTCATGTCGTGGTGGTTTTTCAACGACCACACGAGTCACACTGGCCCTAAACGCTGAACACCCCAAAGGATAAGAGCCAGGCTCCAGCTGATGGACGACGACCTTGCCTCCGCGACCCAACACATCTCCACGCCGCTCCGCCTGACTGGAGGGGAAGGCGCTGAAGGAAGTATACAAGCGAGTTAGACCTGGACGTGGGGGGAGGGTGTCGAGAAGTGAGCGTGAAAAAATGCTACGTACCACGTACATATATATATATATATCTTTTTTTTCTAGCCATTATAAGAGAGCTTTTCTGAATCAGTCAACTCAACACAAAGTCTCTGCAGCTAGACATACACCCTTCAAACCCTGACATTCGAGACATTCGCTGAAATCGTCCCCTGAGTGCAGAAGTTCTAAGCTGGTGTTGAGCATCGGGGAGGAGGAGGCACATCTACAGAGCTCACAGCACGCAAGAGACAATGAAATCTGCTGAGCTTCTGGAAACATGTCATGGAATTGGAGAAGTTGCGTCACCATCATGCGCCGCAAGGCGCTCGTCATGGAGGTGGCTAGCCAAAACCTGACTTACAACTGCGCTATGATTACCACACTTGTTGCACAAGATACTTTATGACAGTGCTATGCAGGTTTTCTTTTGTCCAGGAACAGAATAGGATCTTGCCGCTGCATGTGAGGTAGAGGCCTGTGTGCAAAGACATCTGCCACACCGCTAGAGGAGACCAGCTGACCTGAGTGTGCGAGTGTGCAGGAAGACAAAGCTTTCGGCTCAAGGCTTCCGTGGTTGCCTAGTAGCTCTCCCAGAAAAGGGGGGCCCCCAACACAAGCTGCAGATCTTTTCTATTCTTTTCTCACTCCGGCCTGGTGAACCTCCCCAAGCCGCCCCATGAGAGACCAGAAGAGGCTGAGCCTGAAGTTGCAGAGGAAGGCCTCAGTTTTGAGTTGTGTAGACCTAGAAGCTGCAGTAGACTATATATGTATATATACATATATGTATATGTATATATATATACATATATATATGCATACATACATACCATGTTCTGAATTGAGTCTGTTCTTGTATATCGTTCAGAATGCTGGACTTTGTATGGTAAGGCCGAAAAAGTTACATAGAGATTCCAATCAGGCGCTATGTAGGTCTGCAGTGGCTAGAAAGAGATGGCGATGACGCGTAGCAGGAGAATAGTGGTCCAGGAAATTAAACAGATCCAGCGCCTGTGCGTCCGACTTCAATGGGCCTGAGATGTCCATGAAGCCAGGATGACTCAAATCGGTCTTTTCAAATTTGTTGTCTTCAACCTCTATTTGACAAGTTCAAACAGATCTACACTTGCGAAAAGAAACATGATTTACAAATTAGAGCACATTCGAGATCACGCAGAGCAGCTTCAAAAAACTGCTTCTTCAGCAAAGCAACATCGAAACTGGTGGGAAGCAAAGAAGCAGTCGAGCCCAGCCAGATAGGGCACCACGAATACATCAGCTTCCTCTGGCCGGGTGGTCTGCACCTCAGTGCAGGTTTTATGCAGTGCAATATGCAGTGCAATATGCAGTGCAATATGCAGTGCAATATGCAGTGCAATATGCAGTGCATAGGTTTTCAAGGCTTCTTTTGAAGTTTTTTCCTCTTCGGTTGTGCCTTTCTGGTTGTAGGGCCTTGGGTCAACGGCGTCATATCTTGCAGGTCAGGTCGAAGTGCTGGACACCCCGCTTGAAAAGTTGAATTTCAATTTTGAGCCGAAAGAGGAAACAGACCCAAAGCTGCTGAAACCCTGTTTCTCTGGCCTCCGGGCACGAGGAGCTGGCCATCAGCTTCCGCAGCAATATCACCTCCTCCCCCCGCTGCCGGGCGACAGAGAACTTAGAGGCCCACCTTAGAGGAAATAGGGCTTGTTCTATGCTGAAGCAATACAAATGGAGTATGGGGAAATAGAAGCTTCAGAATACTCAGAAATTAGAGTTTTTGACATGTAAATTCGAGGGCTGGCTGAAAGGACATACGTTATCTGTTAAAAAGCAGAGAACATCTAGGTTCTCTTCGTGAATACAGAAGAGACAGCGTTTCCCTGGTTAACCAGTTGCAAAGAAACCAAGGCTAAAAAGAAAGACCACCCCTTTGTACTATCAGACCACGCGGATGCAAGCTCAAGCCAGAAGCGTGGCAGTACAAGAGCACAATGACCGCAGCATCATACGAAGTGTCGTGGAAAGTGTTTTGTGCAGCAAGCAAGTTACAAGATATGCCCCGCCCAAATAACTCAACACCATGACAGCGGGCATTCCTGCATAAAAACCCCAAAACAGGATTGAGTTCTCATCTGTGCGGGTGCGTGTCTGTGCACCTGTGAGAAGGGCCCAGTTCGAAGCTGAGTTGCTGCTCCTCGTCACAGGGCGACCGCATAAAGTCACAGCTGCTCCCAGACGCTTGAGCTTCCTGTTCAATCTTATCCTTGCCACGGGCCCAACCCACACACCCATGCACTGCATTGTTGTTACTGATACACATCTTGGCAGGCCAAGAAGCAAAGAGATCGTAGTTCAAAGCTGCGGGCAAGTTGTACATGAACAACTTCAAGCCCACGAAATCTTCGCAGCGCGGTTTTGGAAGATCTGCCCCCAAGTGTTGCGCCAAGCAAGTGCATCCCAGACCAAAGCTCAGCAAAGCCAAGCTGCGCATGAATGCTGCGAGGCTGCTAATCCGTACCAACTCTTTGGAGCTCTGAGTGCTCAATATTTAGAGCCATGTTATAGTAGGAAGAACATAACCACATGAAACAGCATCTCCTGCTCTGCCAACTCAGCGAGACATGCTTGAAGAGGGAAGCCCACCCCGGACTTCGGCAACTGTGACTATGCTACAAGTATACAGCCGCTTTACGAAAAAATACAACTACTATCCCCCTGCTCAGCGGAAGTCAAGGTTTGAGCTCCACTTAAGTCACGGAATGGGAAGACTGGGAACAAGTATACTCTAACACCAAAACCTACAGTGAACCCTAGTGGCCCCTCATCAGAACATAGTCTGGCTAGAAAGCTGGGAGCGATAAGCTGAAGAGTTGCGGCATTTGATTACGCGCAGCGCATTTGAGCACAAACTCCCTCGACCTCCTCGCCATGAGATGTGCCCCAAGCCTTAAACACTGGCCCTGGTGACCTTGCCTTCCGCTTTGCAGAAAGTGTTCAATCTTAAGACGCAGCCTACTCTTCCTGGCATCACTTCTTAACAGCCCAGGATGGCGTCGTATCATCCAGCGTCTCGTCAATATCGTACGCAATGGAGACCTGACGCCTATGTTCACAGTGCCGGCCCCGCGAAGGGACGGTGTCGTGCTCATCCGCAACCTGGCAGCTGGCTACCAGAGAACGCAGCAGTTTTAGGAGTTGCTCAGAACTAGTGCTCCATATTCGAAGTCCTTGTTGTACCCAAGTTTACTTCCATGCAGTCCTACTAGCTATAAATAAGGACGACCGCCGTCGGAACCGCGTTACCATGCGTTACCATTGTCCTTTGAGAGCAACTGCGCAGCTGAAGAAGTCGTCCACGGCACCTCTTGCAAAACGCTTCGTGTCATCCGGCGTCCCGTCGAAGTTTACACTGTACCTTGCCAGCGCTTTCCTGAAACCATGGCGGACGTACGAGTTGTGATCCATGTAGTCGTGTCCAGCCATGATGCCACCTTGTCGCAATTTCGGCCACCAGGTTCTGATGTCGCGCAAAACAGACTTGCGGTCATGCATGGCATCAACATAGATGAAATCCTTGGCTTGCTGGTACCGTCTGGTTCAAGAAAGTTGCTCACGGTTAACTGGGAAAAGGGGACTCATTCAGCACAAAGCAAAACAAAAGAATCGTTGCTGAAGGAAAACAGCATCGAAGGAATGGTCTGCATAGCGATCGGCACACTTGTGTGCAAAATCTGCGCACAGCTCCAATTGAGTGCCGCATCTTGGGCTTTCCAGAGCTTGCTCAAAGCTTTCCACACACTTTCCTCGCTTCAGCTTCCTGTTAAACATTTCTGACAACTGCATGTCCTTGCTTTTCACATGCTGCTTGAATCGGGGGTGGTCTGCTTCCACATCTGCTGGCTTGTAGAGGTCCACAAGAACAAAGCGGCCACAGCCACGCCACTTGTTGAGCAGGAGCTCTGCGTGAGCACCTCTCTGCACTCCAATTTCAACGCCCTTGGTGAAATTCAACTTCGACAGGATCTCACCAAATTCAGAGCGAGACTTGAATGATGGAAGGACAAAATCGGCACGGCCCCGAGGTTCGACGCTTGCAAATCCTTGCTGCAGCTCGACACCCATTCTGCCTTGGAAGTCTGTCTGGTGTAGCTCCCAGTATTTTTGGACATGTCATGAACACCACAACCAGTACAACTTACCATTCGCGCCAGCAAACTTCCCATACCTAAGATGCACATTGCCATACTACCACCCACGACCGCAACCACTCTCACTATCACTGCCACACCAATACGAGGGCAACTTGTTGTAACGACTACGACCACTTCGATGACTTCGACGACGACGACTCCTCCTCCTCCACCACCATCTCCTCCTCGTATGTAGGACCTTTAGGGTCTATGTGAGTATTCTCTTTCGGGTAGCAGTAGTAGTAGTAATTGCAGTACTAATAGTAGCAGTAGTACTACTTTACTAGTACTAGTGCTAGTAGTACTAGTACAAGTACTGGTACTGGAACTAGTACGCGTACTAGTACTAGTAGTACTACTGGTACTACTAGTAGTACTAGTACTACTAGTACTAGTACTACTATTACTAGTACTAGGGCTCTGGTTGAAATGGAAAAGCCTTTTCCATTCCAACCATTTTTTCCCATTTTGAAATGGCAAAAAATGGTTGAAATGGAAAATCGGGCCTGGGGGGAAAAGCCCCAAGCAATTGAAATGGTTGAAATGGTTGAAATGGTTGAAATGGTTGAAATGGAAAAGGCTTTTCCATTTCAACCATTTTTTCCCATTTTGAAATGGAAAAAAATGGTTGAAATGGAAAAGCCTTTTCCATTTCAACCATTTTTTCCATTTCAAAATGGCAAAAAATGGTTGAAATGGAAAATCGGGCCTGGGGGGAAAAGCCCCAAGCAATTGAAATGGTTGAAATGGTTGAAATGGTTGAAATGGTTGAAATGGAAAAGGCTTTTCCATTTCAACCATTTTTTCCCATTTTGAAATGGAAAAAAATGGTTGAAATGGAAAAGCCTTTTCCATTTCAACCATGTTTTTCCATTTCAAAATGGCAAAAAATGGTTGAAATGGAAAATCGGGCCTGGGGGGAAAAGCCCCAAGCAATTGAAATGGTTGAAATGGGTGAAATGGAAAAGCCTTTTCCATTTCAACCATTTTTTACCATTTTGAAATGGAAAGAAATGGTTGAAATGGAAAAGTCTTTTCCATTTCAACCATTTCAACCATTTCAACCATTTCAACCATTTCAATTGCTTGGGGCCTTTCCCCCAAGGCCCGATTCTCCATTTCAACCATTTTTTGCCATTTTGAAATGGAAAAAAATGGTTGAACTGGAAAAGGCTTTTCCATTTCAACCTTTTTTTTCCATTCAAAATGGGAAAAAATGGTTGAAATGGAAAAGCCTTTTCCATTTCAACCATTTCAACCATTTCAATTGCTTGGGGCTTTTCCCCCCAGGCCCGATTTTCCATTTCAACCATTTTTTCCATTTTAAAATGGCAAAAAATGGTTGAAATGGAAAAGCCTTTTCCATTGCAACCATTTTTTCCATTTTAAAATGGTAAAAAATGGTTGAAATGGAAAAGCCTTTTCCATTTCAACCATTTCAACCATTTCAACCATTTTAATTGCTTGGGGCTTTTCCCCCAAGGCCCGATTTTCCATTTCAACCATTTTTTGCTATTTTAAAATGACAAAAAATGGTTGAAATGGAAACGCCCGGGCCTCCCCCCAATACTAAATTTCGAGCCCGGGCTCGTAATTTAGTATTGGGGGGAGGCCCGGGCTCGTAATTTAGTATTCGGGGGAGGCCCGGGCTCGTAATTTAGTATTGGGAGGGGGATTCGAATAGTTTGAATGGTTTGGGGACCCGGCCTGGGGCCTTTAGAGGCCCTCCTATCCCTTGCGATTCTTGGGGCTGCGGTGGGAATCAAAGGCGAATGAGGCCATCCTATCGCGCAGGTTTTTTTTTGGGCTGCGGAGCAAAGGCCCGAGGGCTTTCCTATCCCTTGGGATTTTTTGGGGCTGCGGTGGGAAGCAAAGGCCAAGAGGCCATCCTATCGCTTAGGGCTTTTTGGGCTGCCGTGGGAAGCAAAGGCCCAGAGGCTATTCCGGGGCTGCGGTGGGAAGCAAAGGCCCAGAGGCCCTCCTATCTAAAATCAAATCGCAAGCCCTGCTCCCTAAGAATTTTGGTTCATTTTTGCTCCCAAAAAGTCAAATCACAAGCCCTGGTCCCTAAGATTTTGGGTTCATTTTTGTTCCAAAGAGTCAAATCGCAAGCCCTGGTCCCGAAGATTTTGGGTTCAATTTTTGCTCTCAAAAAAGTCAAATCGCAAGCCCTGGTCCCTAAGATTTTGGGTTCATTTGTGCTCTCAAAAAGTCAAATCGCAAGCCCTGGTCCCTAAGATTTTGGGTTCTTTTTGTTCCAAAGAGTCAAATCGCAAGCCCTGGTCCCGAAGATGTTGGGTTCAATTTTTGCTTCCAAAAAGTCAAATCCCAAGCCATGGTCCCCAAGATTTTGGGTTCATTCTTTGCGCCTAAGAGCCAACTCGCAAGCTCGCTCGCTCGTTCTCGTTCGCTCGCTCGTTCTCGCTCGCTCGCTCGCTCGTTCTCGCTCTCTCGCTCTCTCTCGTTCTCTCTCTCTCTCTCTCTCTCTCTCTCTCTCTCTCTCTCCCTTCTCGCTCTATCTCTCTTTCTCTCTGTTTTCTTCTATGGGCAGTAGAGTTTGAAGACGAGGAGCGTGAGCTACAACGAAAGAGATTTTCTGAAGCAGGCTTGGAGTGAGACAGGGCGAGGCATACAGAAGAGCATAAACCGTGGGACAGAGCGGGTCTCTTAGCTTCCCCCTTCTCAAGTCCGTCTCAGTTTTCTCTTTCGTGAAAAAGAAGGAGGAAAAGAGAAAAGAGTGAAGAGGAATTTACATGTTCTTCCTACCTTGTTCTTGCTTACGGCGCGGTTAGCGACCCCGCCGAAAAGGCGTGTTTTTCGGGTTTCGGGTTTAGGGATGCTACTTGGGAGGGGGGGGATGGTTACGACACTTGGACTGCGTGCAGGGTTTCGGACGGGACTCTCTCTGCTCTGCAACCAGGCCCCCGGATCAGCCAATCTGCCCTAAACCCTGAACCCTAAACCCTAAACCCTGTTTCGGTTTGTTCGGTTTAAGATTTCGGGTTTTCGCTGAAACCGTCCTGCCTATATACCCTTAATACACAAGACAGTGTACGCCCCAAGCTCTCCTGTATGCAAACCTCAACAATGTCCTGCAAGCCCAAGTTCTAATTTGACTCTGTCGAATTTAGAGTTTATAGGGTTTAAGGTTCACGATGAAGGCTTAAACCGTTATGCCCATGTACCCTAAACCATACACCATGCAAGCCCGAAGCTATAACACTGAACTAAACTGAACTTGCAAATTCGCTGTAAATACCAACATTTCCATACAAGCGGACAGCCTTGAACCCTTGCTTGTCTACTCGTCCAGAAACGTGTAACCTAAGGGCTTTCAAAAATAAACGTCTCACAAAACCTGTTTTAACATGCAAATTCGCTGTAAACACCAGTATTTCCAGAAAAAAAAGACTTCTCCAATAAAGCGACTTCTGAAAGTCGAAAAATCGTGGGTGCACGAAAACATTTACAGTGAATTCGGCCGAAATTATCAAAACCCTCGGTAAAAATGGGGTTTTCCGACATGCGCTACTGAGCAACCACGCACAGAAACATCGACAAAACCGAGGTTTTACACTTCAACCCCCTCAAAACAAGGTGTTTTTTTGTCGGGTCGTTAACCGCGCTGTAACCTTGTTCTTGCCCCTCCCTCTTCTCTCCCCCCTGACCCTGTCTCTCTTTCTCCCTATCTCCTCATTTTTAAAAAGTGGTGCGGGAAGGCGGAATGAGATGAAGGCAGCGTCCCCCCCTGGAGGCACCTGCCCGCACAAAAAAGAGCATCGGCCTGCAAAAGATTTGCAGAAGGAGAAAGTGAATGAAACAACGCAAGGCATGGAGAGAAGCATAGGCAGTGGGAGAGAGAGGGCCTCTTGGCTTTCCCCTTATCTCTTTCTCTGTTTAGACAAGAACATAGGAGAGACGGGGGGGTTTACACCTTTACACCTTCTTCTCGCCATGCTCCTCACTCTTCTCTATTCCCCACACCCCCCTCGTGTGTCTCTGTCTCCGTCTCTGTCTTTCTTTTCTCTCCTGGGTGGTATGTCGCAAAACTGGAAGGGGAGGAGGAGGGTGAGAGGATTGAAAAGGAAGAACTACAAAGGGATTTGAAGAAGGAGAGGGGTTAAAATTTGGCGGTGGCCTTTCGGTGTCCATCGAGCATTTGTGAAAAAGAAAAGCGCCATTTTCTTCCGGACAGGTCCGCATCCCTCGAGTATACCACTACCACGACCAGCACTACTACTAGTACTACTACTGCTACGACTACGCCTGTTACCAGGAGCCTGTGTCAAGAAAAACGCCATTTTGTTTCGGACAGTTTCGTGTCCATCAAGCCTATGTCCAGAAAAAAAACGCCATTCTGTTACGGACATTTCCGTTTCCATTGGCCCCATGCCCAGAAAGGAGTTCTAATTTCCTCAGGAGAAATCATGGCGTGAGATGCTCCAAAAAGAAAGACAAGTAGGAGGATGTGTGGGCGGAGGACATGTCTGTTTAGAGTGTTCCAGAGGGTTTGTTAAGCATGCATGTGTTCTTCAAGCATTTCAAAGGAATGGATTTGTTAACGATATATCCTTACATTTCAACAACCATGCCAATCAGGAGGAGTCCAAACAAGTCGGAGGAGTCATGTTATGGGAAAGAACTGGGTTTGTGAACAATTACATGTCTTTATCAAGTTTTTGGTCGGGTCCAACGGTTTGGATGTCTTAATCATATTTCCTTCTGTTTCAACACGAAAAGCAGGTCGGAGGAGTCCAAAAACAAATTGGAGGAGTCGTGTTAGGGGACGTCCCAAGAAGCAAAACAACTAGGAGGATGGTTTTTTGAAGTTTCGCCTGCAAAGGTTGATTTGAAGGGCCCACAGGAATGAACTTGTTAACAGCGCATGTCTGCTCCACTTCTTTGAAAGGGTCCTACGGAATGAATTAATCAACCACATTTCCTTCTGTTTCAGGACGCAGAGCAGTTTGGAAGCTTCCAATCAAATACGAGGAGTCACGTCATGAGACGCCCCAATAAGGCAAACAATCAGGAGGATGTCTGGGGAGTTCATAGCGGTTGAAGGGTCCACAGGAATGGACTTGTTCACCGCACATGTTTGCTCAAGTTTGCCAGGCCCCAGCGGAATGGATGTGCTAACCAGCTTTGCTTCTGTTTGAACAAGCAAAACAATTGGGAGAATTCCAAAACAATTAGGAGGAGTCATGTTATGGGACGCCCCAATAAGCAAAACAATTAGGAGGATGTCTGGGGATATTGCTGTTCATAGTGGTTGAAGGGTCCAGAGGAATGGACTTAACCGCACATGTCTGTTTCAAGTGCATATTTCCTTCTGTTTCAACACGCAAAACATTTCGGAGGAGTCCAAAACAACAAATTTGGAGGAGTCGTGTTAGGGGATGTCCCCAATAAGCAGAATAATTGGGAGGATGTTTGGGGGACATTTTTGATTGGAAAGGTTGAAGGGGCCACAAGAATGGACTTGTTAGCCACGCGTGGCTGTTTCAAGTCTCTGAAAGGGTCCAACGGAATGAAATTCTGGACCGTGTTTTTCTGTTTCAACACGCAAAAACATTCGGAAGAGTCCAAGCAATCAGGAGGAGTCACATTATGGGACGCCCGAATAAGGAAAACAATCAGGAGGATGTCTGGGGAGTTCATCGTGGTTGAAGGGTCCAGAGGACTAGACATGTCTTAACCACGCATGTTTTGTTTCAAGTCTTGGAAAGGCCCTAGCGGAATGGATTTTTGACCATGTTTTCTTCTATTTCGTCAACCAAAACAATTAGGAGGAGACCAAAACAAGTAGAATAAGACATGTTATGGGACGCCCAATATCCAAAACAAATAGGAGGATGTCTGGGGAATATTTAAGCTCGTAGTGGCTGAGGGCGACAGGAATGGACTTCACCGCACGTGTCTGTTTCAAGTGTTTGAAAGGGCCCATTCCGGTGGGCCCCTAGACCCAAAGACCCAAACCCTGGTTCAAATTAATACGAGTTTTAACTTTCGTTTTGTTATTCGTACTAGTTCATAGTCTTATTAGCCTACGAACTCTATTAAATGTTACTAAGTGACTCGCCCTCTCGGTCCGTTTTTCCCTTCGCTAGACGATTTCTCCACACGCCCATCCGCGAAAGAGCAAAGCTTTGTCAACACCATTCTCTGTACAACAAACGCCATGGAAACGGAAGGGAGGGGGGGAGAAGCCCCTGCATACCTTGACTTCAAGAGGACAGGACACAGAAGAGATCAGAGGAACACTGTGCGACGAAAACCGGTTTGAAGAGGGAACAGGAGAACTTGTCACTCTGTCTGCCTCTCTTCCTTCCTGTCCTCCTGTCTTCTTCCTCTTCTCTCCTCCTTTTATCGCGAATGAGATAGGAAGAAATGGAGAGGAAGAACAGGCTAAGGTTGGGACGAAGCAACAGAAAGTTGCCACACCCTTCAATGATGGAACATGAATGACAGCTACTGGGAGATTCGCGCGCACGGCATCTTGGATCTGCATGTGCTTGGGCTCCTCGGGCCCTCGCAATCCTCTTCATTGTCTTTCTCTCTCTTTGCTCTCCATTTCGCGCTCTCATTCTCTCATTCTCTCATTCTCTCATTCTCTCATTCTCTCATTCTCTCATTCTCTCTCCCCATGTGTTGTTTCACTGACGCAAGAGAGAGAGAGAGAGAGAGAGAGAGAGAGAGAGAGAGAGAGAGAGAGAGAGAGAGAGAGAGAGAGAGAGAGAGAGAGAGAGAGAGAGAGAGAGAGGAGAGAGAGGAGAGAGAGGAGAGAGAGAAGAGAGAGAAGAGAGTGAAGAGAGTGAAGAGAGAGAAGAGA